TACGTACATGACTATTAGGAAGATGAGCGAAAGTGCGATGGGAACCCAAGCCCCTTCTCGAAACTTGATGAGGGATGCTGAGAAGTAGAGTGATTCAATGGAGCCGAAAACAAGTATGAAGGCAATGGCAAAGAGAAAACTTTTGTGCCAGCACAAGATGATGACTACAGACATTAGGCATGTGGTCACCAACATAACAGTTATAACTGCTAAGCCTGCAATAAATTCGACACAACGATCAGTCTTACCAAGTAAAATAACCGAAACACCATAACCGCAAATCTAAGCAAGGTCGGGGGATGGTAGACTTTATATATATCACAATCAACTTGGTCGAAAGTAGGAGTTTGGAGGAGAAAGTAGGAGTTTGGAGGAGTATATGTGGTTTAGAGTAGTAAATTTTCTATTCCCTGTAGACTCAATGAGATAAAAATAACTTCAAAGAAAGACAGTTTTCCCCAAGTCAACTAGATTAGCAGTTACAACAAAAACAAAAATCTAAACCTGAATGACTAGAAAAATGAAGAAAGTCATTCAAGTGGAAATTATACCTGATGCATTGCCCATTCGTTTCGTGTCTCGAAAGCCACCAGTAATAGCCAAGCATAAGAGCATCAACGTCCAATTGATCTCCGGTATATAAATCTGACCGTGGATCTTTGAGGAGGTATGTACAATTTTGACCCTCGGAAAGCAACCTAAGGCAGAGCACTGTTTTATTATCGAGAAAGTTCCGGTAATGACAGCTTGACTTCCTACCACCGCGGCTAAAATGGCGATCACAAGAACGGGCCATCTTATTTTCTCTGAAACATAAAGATAACGGTTGAATTCCTTTGACAGTTAAATATATAACTTGTCTCCAATGCACCAACAAATTTGTACACCTACCAGGGACAGACACATAAAATCCGATTCGATAGTCGGTTTCCACGCTGTGATGTTGAGAAAGATAAGCAGCTTGTCCCATGTATGCCAGGACCAAAGATGGATAAACCACAAAAGAGAAAGCAATCTGCAGTAGAACAAATTTCTGTAAGAAGATGAATTTTCAACTCCTTTGTATCTCTTGCGCTTCAAACAGAATATGAAATCTACAAATACATATGGCTAATAGTTGACACTTATCTCATGAGATTAGTCGAGGTGTGCACAAGCTAGTGCTAGCCTCGACCCTCGTAAATATTGGAGGGAGCGGGAGAGGGGAGGTCAATAGCTTGAATGAATTTTATAGACGACAAAGATGCAAAGTTTCAGCTGATTGAAAAAGAAATACCTTGATAGATAGCTGCGAGAAGTGCCCGAGATCAGCAAACATTGCTTCCGAACCTGAATATCAGACAGGCAACTTCAGATAACTTAAAAGGACAAGAATAAAAAGGGGAGAAGATGAAAAAGAAGATGGATTACCTGTCATACATAGCAGGATCCCGCCGAGGGCCATCCAACCTCCCCTTTGGGTCTTCTTCAAAAATTTGTACATGTAATATGGGGAGAGTGCTTGGTAAACTTGGGGATTCCAGTAGAATATATTGTACAGGCCTATGGCACTAATACACAGGAGCCAGGTAATTACAACTGGTGCAAACAAAAATCCAACTCGATGGGTTCCGTAATGTTGAATCGCAAACAGGAATACCAATATGACACACGCAACTGGGACTTCAATATCTACATAAAACAAGAAAAAAGAAGGTTATCAAACAGCGCCTAAACACCAACTATTATAACTTTCATAGTTTACTGGCATGATGAGTGAATACTGATAGGTCCCTCATTAACCAGAGGAGACCGCAAAATATAGCAAACAGTGTCTAACATGATGCACTTATATACTCGAACCAAAGGACTGATTTCTACTGTATTCATTTGTTCGTTTCGTCTAGTACTATGGAGAAACAAGAAGATGCTATTCATATGATGGCCAAAAGCAAAAGCATGTTGTTCAAACAACTCTATTCTGCCTAATAAGATAAACAAGCATAGATTTAGCAAGAGAAAAGGGCAATGCAGAATAATAACAGTCATTTAGTATTATAACAACTCTGATACGGTTTCGACACTGTCGATGCAGAATCTGAGTATGGCAGAAAAGCTTTCAAAATGCAAACAAAGTTGTTTTAACAAACATCCCGAGGACACAGTAAGTAATGAAACCGAATAGCTTGTCAAGGCCAAATTAGTAATTATTTTCTAATGTCACTGTTAGCAGACAACAGCAACTCACGATCAGAAAAGAAAAGTTTACTAGTACAAGTTAAAAGGACCCATCAACAATAATGGATGCTCGATAAAAACCCGCTACCAGAACGATGTTACTTCCTGATCAACATTACTACGATAGTAAAAGAGCTAGTCGAAGTCGGGTGATATGGAAATTTCAATGGTGACTTAGAAGGCAAATAGTTTGACCAAGAGATGAATGATTGCACTGACTTGTTCAAGAGTTTTAGTCCAAAATCAAGCCTATAGCTGATTGCACTGTATTTTATTTTATTCTCATGGTCTTAATCCTAAAGCAGCAAGCCAAATAACATCAAAAAAGTTCAAACACTTTCAGTAAAAGTATTAATTTAACCCCTTTTTTATCTCTTTGCTTTTCTTCTTTACTTCACATGATAGTGATTTGACTATGATTGAAACTGAGGTGTTTGTATATCAATCATATAAGTAGAGACCCACAATAATTCATGTAATGTAATAATTGAACTATGAATCCCATGCTCATCCACTATTTCAAGTGTTTGCATTATAATAATAAACAATTATAACAAAAAGCTCCTCAGATTTGTATAGCTAAAGAAGGAAACATTTTAAATTTTCTAAAGCCTCTATACAAGCAGTCAGCAGACAAAGGAGAATAAAAAAATAAAAAAATGAAAAAAGTAAAAAGAAGCACAACCTCAAAATATTGACTACCAGAAATTGTGCCCAGACTTCTCTTCACGTTGCTAATAAAACTAATGGTTTTAAATCCCATTTTGGTCTCTGAACCTTCAAAATATCTCTTTTGGCCCTTGAACTTTTGGGTTTGTTTCATTTTGGTCTTTAAACTTTCAAAAGCTCTACTTTTGTACCTAACTTTTTTCTCAATGAAAAAAAGTAACTGACTTGGTATTTTACCTTTGTTTTGATTTTAACAAATTAATAATACAGCTTCAAGTATGTATACTACCGTTGTTTAACTTGAGAATGTTTCCAAATCGTATAGGCTAAAAATGAGTATCGGTAAGCAAATTTTAGGTGGCAAAATAATATGATAAGAACCAAATGTTACCTTTTTGGAAATTAAAATGATTAATTTTTACCGTTTAAGGACCAAAAATAGGATTTAGACCAAAACTAATTAAGAGAACCATTGAAAAAGAAGAAGAAGAAGAACCATTCATCTTCTTTCTACAAAAGATTGTTCAGAAAACCAAAAGAAACCTTCTGGGTTGATCAATTTTTTCCATGAAGATTCATCAAGCAAATTGGTAGCAGAGAAGCTTACAACGATGGTGCTCTTTAGCCATGGAAAGCTCCAGCCCAGAAACCGCAGAGAAAACTGCCATGGAAAGCCCCCCAAAACAATCAAGTTCCATCAATTCAAACTCCAAAACCACAAAAAAATCTGTAAAAACAGAACAAAATTAAGAATCCCCAATACCAGAAATTGCAGGTGTAAGAACTCCATCTCCAATCACCATACATGCCCCAATCAGAGCTAGAACCAGCAAAACCCTCTGTAACACTCTGTGCTTCTCTAATGTCGATTTCAATCTCGATCCACAAGTGTTCTTGGTGGTTAAATCGACCCCATCTTTTGTATATTCAGAGAGTTCCTCATCTGCGAGCTGGCAATTGGGCAGGGAGCTAACTCGGGCATGGCGGCAGAGCAATGAGTATAAGGCGAAAGTTCCCCCTTCGCCATTATCATCAGCTCGAAGCACAATAAAAACATACTTAATCAGAGGAATGAGAGTGAGGGTCCAGAAGACAAAAGAAAGAACCCCATAAATCTCCTCGTTGGTTTCAGAGTGTTGAATATCCTCAGCGAAAGTGCTTTTGTAGACATACAAAGGGGAAGTGCTCAAATCGCCATAAACTACCCCCAAGCTCTGGTAAGCCAAAGTTAAAACCGCTCTCCATGAATCTTTCTGCAAACAGAAGTGATTAAAATTCGAAATCAACAGAAGAAGAAGAAGAAGAAGAAGAAGAAGAAGAAGAGGAAGATGGAGATATTAGAGTGCCACGCGTTGTACCTTGAGTGGGTGGCGCCCAATAGCACTCTCCAGATCCATCAATGGCTAAATCAGAGTTTCAAAGGACTCGAAACCCATTAAAATTAAAGCGGAATGAAGACGACCCAGATGGCTAAACGCCCTCCCGAGTTCGCCAAATTCAAAATAAAACCAAACAGGTAACGTATCTTTAATGGCGGACCCAACAATGAAGAAGGCTCGGACAAATCAAGAACCAAAAACAGGAAGATGGTTGATGAAGAACACAAGAAAGAAGAAGAGTAGAAGCTTGAATTGGAAAAAGAAAAAAAAGAAAAACAGAAAAACAGAGCTACTAAGTAATGGGGGCGATATTTTGAGAGGATTTTTAGGGTGTGAAATGAAAACTGTGGAGGAACAATAACAATTATCTTCTTCTCCACTTGGAAGATTAAAGAGGGAATTTGAGTGGTGAGCTCAGGAAGCACGATTGGAGAAAAGTTATGAACCCACCAAAGAAAACCGACCCCTCCAAAAGCAAATTGCCTCACTCAACACTCACTGTAGAGTTTGAAGGCCGCATTTAAGGAAAAAAAGGTGCAAAAAAAATGAAAAATAAAACACCAAACACAAAACAAACGTTTGAATCTTGGTGGGTGCTTCTTCTTAATGGATCAAATCAAAATCAAAAGCAAAAGCTTCCTTTTTTTTCTTTTCCCCCTTTTTTCTGTTGGATTTGATGTATTTTGTGATTAGACACTTTGCTGTATTTGTTTTTCTTTTATATATAATCTTTAGATTAGGCACTGTTCATCTGATTTCGACCTAATTTTTTTAGCTACTGTACTTTGAGATGGGATTGTTTCATAAGAAAATTTGATGCTTTTCTGCAAAATATCATATATACAGATGAACGAAATTAGATTGAAATGATTTCTGGGAATTTTTTTAAATAAAAAAGTCTTAAAATAATTAATAATTAAAGAAAAATGGTCTTTGATTGATTTGAGTTTAAAAAAGTCTAAACAAGCATTGATTAAAAGGAAATTAAAACTATGATTTGAAAAGAGAAGGCAAAAGAGAGTTTGTTTCCACCTCATTTTTAACTTAACGCTTTCTTGTAAACTTTCAATTTTAAGAAAAATTTCTAAAATAGTGTAAAAATCTTGAAAACAACCAAATCAAAATTTTTTCTTCTTCTTTTGTTTCTAATTTCTTTCGAAATATAATTTTTGACTTATAAAATTACAGTAAATATATAAAAAAAGTTAAATATAGAAATTTTTTAAAAAATATTTAATTTTAAAAATTAGTTTTCATATAAAACTTTTATTTTATTTTTAAATTTAAAATTGTAACAAGAAACATGTTTTCTAATTTTTTAATAAAAAATAAAAATAATTATCAAACACCATATGTTTTATTTGATTTTAAACTGGCATGATTAAAACGAAAAATAAAATCATGATTTGAAAAGAGAATCACAAAAAGAGAGTTTGTTTCTCACCTAAATTTTAACGAGAGCTGTTTCTATTTCCCTCTAAAATTGTATAAAAAATTTGGAAACAACAAAATTAAGTTTTTATTTTCTCAAAATTTTCTTTAAAAATTAGAGATAAAAGCATTATTTTATCATTTTTAACTTATAAAAACCATAATATAATATAAAAATTTTAAAAATTATTTTTCATGTAATTTTGTTTTTAAAATTTAAAATGGAGAAACAAGAAACGATTAAAAAAAACTGCTAAACGCAATTTTATTTATTTATTTATTTTTATTGAAAAAGGTGAAACCAAAAACAAATGAATAGAAAAACTAAAAACAAGATTCAGACAAATTTGAAACAAAAGAATAACGAAAATATATATATAAGAAAATTTGAAATGGAATTATTTTATAAGAAAATTTGTGCCCCAACAGAATAACGAAATTAAATTTAAAGATTACTTTTAAATGAAAGTCTAAACCTAATTCTTAATCAAAGATCAATGGTATTTGAGTCTCAAGAAGTCCAAAAAAGCATGATGAAAAAGAAACTAAAATTATGATTTAAAAATAAAAGGCAAAAGAGAGTTTGTTTACAATTATGTGACTGTAGTATAATTGAAATGATATGTTAAAGAAAATAAGAATTACAAAATCATTACAAAAAATGGCAAAAAAAAAAAAGGAAAAAATAATAATAGTTATCATAATTGTACTAATTATTGTCAATAAATATCTAGACTAACCATAATGATATAAATTACTACCTAAATTAATTATGAATCATGTAAGTCAACTRTTATATCATAAAGTAAAAGTATAACTATATTTTTTTACAAGAAAATAACATATCTCTAATTAAAAAATGGTAAATTCGAATATTCATTTCAGTATAAGTATCACCATTATAATATTGAGGTAAATATATTTTAGAAAAAGTCAACTATAGTTAATAGTAATTCTTAAAAGAAAATACTATATTGAAACTATTTATGTTAGTATGCGAAAATTATTTTAATTTATAAAAGTAGATGTATAGTCTAGAAATAAATTTTCAAAGATTGGTTTTACGGCATGTTTATGAAGCTTTCGTTTTTAAAAATATTTATAAATATGTCTGTTTCTTAAAATAGTTACAAATATATCATTTATAAAAAAGCTTATAAATTATTAGTTAAATTAAATAGTGATAACTAATATGTTTTTTTTTTTGAAATACTAATATGTTTCTATTTTATATTATAGTCATTCACTTATGTAAATTGATTATTAACTTAAAAATGGATCAACTTAATCTAACAATAGCTACTAATATTTTTGCGTCAACTTGAATATATCTCAACTTGTTAAGACATGTATCTTCAACTAAAAAGTTGAAAGTTTGAATCCCGACCGTACATGTTGAACTCAAAGAAAAGATCGTTGGTTTATTTAGTAACATTTATATTTCTTATTTTTGTTTAAGAATTACATGATCTTCTGTCTCTATGGATTAAAAAATGATAAAACACTATTTTTATTTATGCTCACTAAATTAGAAACAAAAATAAAAAACAAGAAACTTTTTTTGTTGTCGTATATTTATTTTTACGAGTTCTTTAATTTTTTTTTCTTTTTCAAATATAACAATACGTAGATAGGTGTCTTGTCTTCTGAATTACACCAGTCGAGTTTATAAGTGGCGCGACCGGATAATTGAAAAGCAATGAGACAAAAAGGGGGACCAATTCAACTCGCACGAGTTGGACTCAGTCAGAAGACACGTTGAGGAACAAATCAGAAGGCTAAAACTTGAGAAGTTGGTGTTGTTGGCCTTTATTGTTTTGTTCTTTTTTATAAAAATTTCCCTTTGAATGATAAAAATTGAGAAAGAAAGTGTTTGGGGATGAGAATACCCTGGACACGTGGAGGACCCCTATTGGTACTCCAAGATGACTCATGAGTCATGTCCAGTTCGGACCGCCGAGATCACCACCACAARCGTTGACAGATGCTAAGTATGAGGGCCGAGGTGAACCTGGCCGAGGTCCGACCTACCGGGAAGCTCGGTAGGGGCCGATGTGAGCTACTGTCAGCGGCGTGATTATCGGGTGTAACCGTCGGTCCCGAGATTACCAGGTGTAACCGTCGCGAGATTAGCGGGACTACCACCCATAAGTAGAGGACCTCACTCCACGATTAGGTACGATGATTTTTGACCTCGAACTAAACTGGGAATCCGACCTATACTGACTTGATCGTCGGAGTGCTCACCTTTTTGTGCAGGTCTGCCCAAGTATTCAGATCGGTCCGGAGGCCGAGTTCGAGCTACAATCTGAAATACACTGTTGTGCATATCCTTTCATAAACAGAAAGCGATCCATCACCTACCAATGCATGACACCTAGAATATATAATTCAATATTTGATGAAAAATAGTTAGGTATTTATCGGTTAAATTACGATTATTTTTTTTTTATAAATAAGAGAAAAAATTTCAATTTTTTTTTATATTTTTAAAAATATCTAAAAGAACTGTCAAGTTTTTATTTTTATCAATTGATCGGTCCTCACCTTAATGTGATTAATATTTGCCACCCTTAAAACACATAATAAATTATTTCAACTCCCATTAATTATTGTTGCTTTGGCTTCTTGTTATGTTGGATGGACTTCACGTTACCAAAAAAAAAAAGTATGTATTATTAATTGTTTAAAAATTATTTTATGCAATCTCTATTCTATATACATCCACGTGGTACCAATCGACGATTTAATTACATAAATATATCTGAACTATCGATTACGACTCATGCAACAAGATCCCAAGCATATCTTCTAATTCAATAAGGCAAACGTTTTACTAGGAATAGAGTCAGAAATTTTCACAGAGAGACAAATTTTACATTCTAACTTATTTATATATATACTATAATAATAATAATAATAATAATAATAATATTTCAAATTGCAAAATTTAAAAGGGGCAAAGTAGAGAATTTTTTTTTTTTAAAATTACTCTGCCCTGGACAGAGTAAGATAGGATGAGCCATCAAACGGCCTATAAGATAGGTGATAGAGTTTGTCCTAAATGTGAATGCTACCCTACCATGCCCAAGTAGCAATGTCAACAACCCTCTTTGGAACAATCAATAAATGATAGGTCAATAGCCCTAAAATGGATTGTCCACTCTTTAGATATTTTTCACCTTCAACCAATCGATGAATGATATGATTTCTTAAATGCCAAGTCACCGTCCCCTAATAGGTTAGACATGGCGGCAATTGCAGAGTAATCATTATTCTTCGTTTGACTAAAACATTTTAAGTTACGTATTGTCAACGCGAATGTAGTTTAATTGGTTAAGACACTTACCTACAGTCAAAAGATCATGAGTTTGAATGTCCACCCCATGTTGGATTAAAAGAAACAAAAAAAACCACGCACCACATAGATGCTTCCACGTATCTCTTGTCCTTCTCATTTGATCTCCTTTAGTATTCTCTTTTGTGGATGTCTTATCCAATCTCGATATAACATGTTAATTAAGTCCCTCTTGAACCAAAAATCAACTTCAATCACTTCTATAATTTAAATCGCAACAATTTAACTATATATCAATATTAAAAATATATTTTAGGTGAATTTTCCAAAATAAGTTTTTTATTAATAATTTTAACAAAAAAAAATTACATTGGTTGTTTAAATAAATAAGATATCGTACTTGGTCATGAGTGACCATTTAGAACTATATTTTAAATATTAATTTTTTTTTCAATTAAAAAATGGAGATTCGAACCTTAAATTTTTTTTATCAATGATACATGCCTTAACTAGCCAAGCTTTGGTTTGGCTACTAAAAACTTATCTACTAGAGTGAACATTGATTAGTTTTTGCCACAATAATTCTCATAATTGACTAGGATTGGGATCAAAATGATGATTAAAAATAAAAAGCTTGACATCGACCATACCCTAATCCTTGTAATTTTTATGTATATATCAATATTAATAAAATTACTAAGTACTTTTGCCAACATGAGCTTAGTTGAACGATAATTGGTACTTGTGTCTGAAGAACAGTCTACGAGTTTGAATTCCTCTCCATTCTATTTGTTGTACTTAAAAAAAGAAAAAGAAAAAAAGTACAGGTACCTTTGTAAAAAATTTCATGATTTACACTAAGGAATAAAACAAAATTAATTCTCTTTTTTTAGATTAAAAATATATAACTTTTGTATATTTGTTAACAAACAATCAAAATGTTTTTTTAATCAGATACACCCAATTTTA